GCAGGGTCAGCCATTTATACAGCGCCCCTGGAGCAGCTGGGGTTAAGGGCCTTGCTCAGGGGCCCAACGGAGTAGGATTCCTCTGCCGGCCGCAGGATTTGAACCAGCAACCTTCCAGCCACAGGAGCAGATCCTGAGCCACAGAGCCACTGCTCCGCACATCATTTAAATATCTTATGATGTGTCTTTATTGTAAATGTCTGTAGATTTTTGTTTTATGTTAATTTTCTCTGCTTTGCTTTGGCAACACTGATTGTATTCATTGGTCATGCCAATAAAGCACCTTGAATTGAATTGAAAAATTAAGAATGAGATGGAAAGAGTGAGACAGAGAGAGGAGAGAGAGTGAGACATGGAGAAAAGGGTAGGGATGGGGAGAGGGAATGAAGAAGAGAGGGGGAGAGAGGAAGAGGGATTGAGGGGGTAGAGATGGAGAGAGAGGGCCGTCAGCCGCGGGGGCGAGAGAGGGCCGTCAGCCGCGGGGGCGAGAGAGGGCCGTCAGCCGCGGGGGCGAGAGAGGGCCGTCTGTCCCTGGGTCTGTCTACACACCACGCCTGTGGCCCCTGAGCAGCCCTTCACCAGGGCTGGCCCTCGCTTTCTGGGGGCCCAAGATGAGATCTTGAAAAGGGGCCCCTCCAGGTCACAGTTTGCACAAACACTGCTGTTATCAGCTCCCAAACACCCACTTATCAGTTTTATCACTGAGAACTACTGAATAAATGAATCATATAACTAGAAAATGTATTAACCAGCTTTGAACAACACATCATAACTTACAAACTAGGACAAGAAGCACACACTTACAAAGATAACAGGTATTAACTCTGAAAGCAATAACGTGAAACGTGAATCTGTTAACTTCTAGAAAGACACCTCAAGTAGCCCACGTCCCTAGCTTGTCTACAGTTTACTAGTCACATGGATGTGTTGGACTGGAGACCAGATGAAACAGAAATGCGTTAGTACAGTGACCGGATTCGGCTCAGCTGTTCTGAGATCTCTCATCCTGCTTCCTTCTCTCAGTGCCCGATAAGGTGCTTCCTCCTGCAGAACGATGTCCTTTCCCAGCTGCAACTCCAGGAGTTTAATTTCAGACCACTCCAGCGCAGTCTGCAACACTTGGAACGTTTCATGCAATCTGATCACCGCAATACGCAACCCTGTTGTGAAAGGCGCTATATAAAAAGAAATTGAATAAGTACAACTTTCCGAAATTGAACGGACAGTAGTTGGTGAAGCAGCAGCTGAAACCCCACTGATATCGTCATCTTACGGCAAAGATGAGCCACGCCCTCCCTCGACACGGAAATAACCTGCTACCCTTACGTTCACAGCTCACAACAGGATTGATTTCTAACGAACTCACTCAGAGAGAGCCACTGGAGGGCTCCGCCCCACTGGGACTCACCTTGCGGGCCATGACCAGCCCCGAGGGCCGGTGGCACACCTTGTTGACCACGCCGCCGTTGCCGGCGCCCAGCTCGCAGATGCGGTGGAAGTCGTCGTCCTTCAGCTCGCCCACCTTGGCCTTCTGCGTGAGGAAGGCCTCCAGCCTCTTCCTCTGCTGCTCATCCAGGTCCAGCTCCTCCAGCTTCTTCTGCAGGGCCTCCAGGTTTGCCCTGGGGGGGGAGTGGGGGGACATCACGACAGTGTTCAGTGCACAGTTTGGGAAGTCAGCTAACACCACAGGTTTCCCTTCACTGCCAGCAGTGTCTGAACGTCGTCTGGGCTCCTGGTCGCTCCCACCTTCCATACGGACACTGCTGCTGCTCCGGGGTAACGGTGATTCCTTAACGTCTTTGTACAGGAGCGCTCGTGACAAACTGAACACTGACCACACTGCTGCCCAGCACTCTCACGCTGAGCTACTGAACACACTGCAGCCCTGCACTCTCACGCTGAGCTACTGAACACACTGCAGCCCTGCACTCTCACACTGAGCTACTGAACACACTGCAGCCCAGCACTCTCTTACACTGAGCTACTGAACACACTGCTGCACTGCACTCTCTTATGTTGAGCTACTGAACACACTGCTGCCCTGCTCTCTCTTATGTTGAGCTACTGAACACACTGCTGCCCAGCACTCTCATGCTGAGCCACTAAACACACTGCAGCCCAGCACTCTCATGCTGAGCTACTGAACACACTGCAGCCCTGCACTCTCTTACGCTGAGCTACTGAACACACTGCAGCCCAGCACTGTAACACTGAGCTACTGAACAAACTGCAGCCCAGCACTGTAACACTGAGCTACTGAACACACTGCTGCCCTGCACTCTCTTACGTTGAGCTACTGAACACACTACAGCCCAGCACTCACACTGAGCTACTGAACAGACTGCTGCCCTGCATTCTCACGCTGAGCTACTGAACAAACTGCAGCCCTGCATTCTCACCCTGAGCTACTGAACACACTGCAGCCCTGCACTCTTTTACGCTGAGCTACTCATTTATTAACTTATTGTTGTTGCTGCTGCTCAGTGTTGGTGTTTTGGGCGATTCCTTTAATGTCTTTGTATGGGAGCGCTCATGACAAACTGGTCTGAACAGGTGAAACTCGACAGGTTACTGATCTTTCCCCGATGCCCTTTGATACAAAGCGACTCCCATGTGCGCCCTCTCCTACAGCGGGGTCTTTCCCTGCGGCTCTCTGGGTGCAGCATCCGGCTCAGGGGGGGGACCCCCAACCTTCCAGTCCAGACCCCGCTGTCGCACCCTTCCTGCTGATGTGTCCGTCAGCAAGCGGGTCTCAAACCCCCGACACACCCTACACACGCCCGGTATCAGCTCAGCCCTGCTCCGCGGCTACGTTTTCACTCCAGGCCACTGATGCACTAACCTTTCGGGCAAGAAGACTTTTTAAACACATTAACACCCCCCCACCCCCAGCAGCTGACCCGCTCCCCCCGGAAGGTACTCACTCGGACGCGGCGTCCACGGCGTTGGGACCGGGCTGGCCCTCCCCGCCCGTGGGGGTGATGTTCAGCGGCATCGGCCTCTTCTTCGGAGCCATCTCGCTCGGGCCTCAGGCGCGACCCAGCCCGCACAGCTCGCACTGGACCGGGAAAACCGACTCGGCGCTGGTTCGCTGAATCACAAGCTCCAGTCGGGAGCCCAGATTAAAACATAGAGAGAGATTTCGGCGGCCCCGTCTCGACTGCAGCCCCCACCCGCCTCTACAGGCCGGCTTGGGAAAGGTTTTCTTTCGGACAATTAAAGCTGAAATGCACGAGTGCCCCGATAGTGGGTGTTTTTTGACAGCTGAGATGCTGTTCTTCACAGCGACATCCCCTTCTCAAGAGCTGCGGGCGGGCGGTCCGGTCCGGTCGGGAAGGTGGGTCGCTAATGGCCACCGGTCTGCCGGCGGGGCTGGGACACGGGCAGCAGCAGCGCGACTACCGCACACGGATCGACGTCTGCATCCGACAGGATGAATATCGCGGCCCCGGCACCTCTGCCCGTCCCGAAGCGCGGAGGTTAGAATCGGGTTTTGCAGCTTTTGAAACGCTGAAAACACCCGAGTCTCCTCTTCAAGGTGCGAGTCCCCCGGGTAACTTCAGACACGTACGGAAAAGTGATCACTTGAAGGAAGACGCCAGGAAAAAATAAATAAACAGCATATCACCACGTTTGTCTCTTTTCCTTTCCTTCAGAGTCTTCAGCTGTTGTTTAGAGAGAAAGACCGTCTCTGGTATTGTCCTGGGGCGCACCGCGGCCGCGGCCTGTCTCCGGCTCTGCGGACGCGGAAAAGGGAGGCAGGGTCCCCCGGTGGCAGCGAACACTAGAGCCCGAGGCTGCGCGGCCCTTGCGGCGGGGAGAGGGCGTGAGCGGGGTGTCTGCGGCGAATGTCCACTGGATGGGCCGGGGGACGCCGGCTCGGTTAGGCTCTCCGCTGGGCGGCGGGGACTCAGTTCGGGTCCCGGTTCAGGAAGCAGTAGCAGTAGCAGCAGACGCGGCCAGGAGGGGTCCCACGGAATCTCGCGAGATCTGTCACCCACACATCCTTCACGATCAGCGGAATCCGGTCCAGGGTTGCAACATAAATCTCGCGAGATTAGAGGTCGCGCCTGGAGCTGCACGCAGCGACCTCTGGCGGCGGGATGGAGTAACTCCAGAAACAGAGTGGCTTCGACCGCGAGTGTTCCTGCCTGTCACAACGCGCAATGCTGTGTCTGTCCTTATAATGCTCCAGGAGCAGACTTAGACACGCACACACAAAAATATATATAGGAATACATATATAATTCATATATATATATATCGATAGGAACGCAACACTTCTAGATTCCCAGGTGGATTTGAAATAAAATGTTTGCATAAGAACGGTAGTAGTGCTCTTGCACTTGCACATCCTGCTCTGTCCAGTCTTGGACCTCCTGGGGGGAGTCCTGCAATTGAGAGGCAGGATCACAGCTGGTCAGCTCCGTTTCTGTGGCGAGCTGCTCACAGTGTCTGCCCAGTGTCTGCGCTGTCTTGCTCCACGAGACCCACTGCGGGCCAGTGTCCTGACCGGCATGAAACACACCTCAGAACAGCTGTTGGGGCTCCTGGAGGCCGGAGGGGAGGAAGGAATGAGGTAGACTCACTGCAGGTGACAGGGTCTGTCCCCCGACGATCTGCAGTCTAATCCCAGCAGAGTGAGACATGGCCACCCGACGACTGCTCCTGAGCCTGACAGCCGGTCTCCCTGCCTGCGCTCCCAGAGCAACATCCCATCATCCCCCGCTGACAAACACTGACTCTCCCTCTCGCCAGGGCCGGACTGTGGTGCTCGTCGGCCCTCGGCACTTTCACTCCGAAATGTGCCAGGAGAGGGGTCAACGCCAGTTGAATGACGTCGATTGACAAGATCCACTTTAAACTATTGTGAGGACCGGGGGATTCGCACAGAATGGAGCTCACACACCCCTGATATGCCAACAACAACTCGTTTATTTACCTCCGCCTGTTGGACTTGATAGACAGAGATTAAAACTCCTTGAAGGGGTTACACACACACGCACACTCACTCACTGACACACACACTGACACACACACACGCACGGTAAGAATTAAGGAGGGGTACTTCAGTTTTCAGTGGGTTACAAGGACAAACAGCAAACACTGACAGCTATTTACGATGGCTCCTCATAACCTCTCTACGCTCTTCTCATGCTAAACCAGGCGATTGATGGGGCGAGTCGAGAGACCATCACTTCCACACTTCTAGTTTCTAGAACAGCTGCTAGAGAGCGTGTGATTGTTGATGTGGACCAAGCATGTTGTTTCAGCTCGTCAGTCAGGAGTGTTTCCCTCCTTCGTAGGCCCTAAAAATGTCCTAGGCCCTAGCAGCTGTGCCAGCACGGCCCCATGGGAGATCCGGCACAGCCATTCACCATCTTCATCTTTCCTCCACCCTCCTCCTGCTGGAGGGGTTGCTCACTGGCCAGACATGTTCACACTGTGTGTTACTGTGTGTTAGTGTGTGTTACTGCGAAAGTCTGTGTGTCTTCGTGAAATTGGTGTGTTAACATGGAAATGGGGGAAAAAAAGTAAGGTTTCATGAACAGTGGGGCGACTGTGTATTATCCACAGCCTAGAGCTGGAGATGTCATGCCTAGCACATCATTCCGAATGAACAGTCTGTGGAAGGACTTGGGGTTACAGGGTGTGCGTATCTTTGTGTCCTTCCTAACTAATTCAGTTTTACAAGAGCTGTTCAGCTTCAAAGACATGGAAATGGATTCCTGGATCCAGCTCCTAGAATGCACAATTCTGACACTCATTTCCATCTTTTTAACAAAGTGCAAAATATCAGACACTGGTTTCTACAAACCTTCCAGACAAAAACATTTCCATAAGCCTTTCTGTCGATAAGAAAAAAAGATATGATCTAATTAAGATGTTGGACCTGTTTAAAAACGCACATTGCATTCCTTCTCCTAAAGCCGTTTGGTTGGACGCGAGGTGTGAAGTAGAATTCTGGATACGGACTGGAGTCTCCCAGACTCATGCTGTCTTCCGACTGACACCGCTAAAGAAACGCGATTAATGTAAGAAGACCCTGGCGCTGCCTCGGAGCGCACGTTCATTCCGGGGTTATCAAGCTCTAAAAGGTGGCACCCCGTGATATCAGGCAGCCCATGCGCCTTTTTAGGGTGCCGAGGCCTAGCGCGCCACTGGCAGCCTATGTGGAAGTGTGACCCGACTTTTTGCTAACACTGTCGCTTTAAGAGCCAGCGGCCACGCCCCTTTCTTGCGCAGTCCCCCGCACCACGTGACCGGGCCGTGCGCCGATTGGTGGGCCCGGCTCCCCCGCACGTGACCCCGCGGCCTCTCATTGGCGGCCAGCTCGCTTTCTTAGTTTTGGCTCTCGCGGGGCTGCTGGAGGAAGATGGCGGCCGAGCTAGTGGAAGCGATGGCAAGTCGAGAGCTGCTTTCTCCCGGGCGGCTGGGCAAGGGGCCGGGGGGCGGCCGGGGCAGCCGAGCGGGGGCTTCGGGCGAGGCTGGGGAGGGCGGGGAGCCCAGCGCGGCGAGGCTGGGGGTGGCAGGGAGATTCACGCCAGGGGGCAGAGCCGTTGTGAAGAGGGGTCGCTGGCATATGGGATAATGAATGATAGATCCATAAATAAAAACATCCGCCAGCGGGGAGTCGGAGCGGCTCGGGTTTAATCATTCACTCCCCTCCTGCAAGCTCGGCACCTCGCACCCGGCGTGTGCCTGCAGCTGAAGGGACCCTGCGCGGCGTGAGAGGGGCTTCCGTCTTCACGGGTTGACAGCGACGAGGTGTGTTTTTCCCGGCGAGAGAGAGGCGGACCTGTCCGCTGCCCCCAGGGGGAAGGGAGCTGCAGGGCCGGTGTCCGGGCTCGGCACCTGGCCGGCGCCAGCGTGAGGCCGGGGCGCCGCGGTGACCCCGATGAGCGCACCCTTGTCGGCGTCTGTGGCTGGAGACGCCGAGCAGCGCAGGAGTCCCGACCCGTCGTTGCCGTCACCCGTGCCTGGTCCCAGGCGGAGATGCAGAGCAGCCCCCCTGCGCTGGTGCTCCCCGGCTGAGCAGAGCCAGCAGCGCCCCGGTGTGCAGACGGGCAACAGCCGACGCAGACGGAAGCCCCGCTTCAAAGCTGATCATAACTGTTGTTGCAGTCTGATTTTCGCCGGATGGATTTAGAGAGAACTCCGTGCTGTTTGATTGAGAGAAGTCGTCAGCCCTGTTCGCCTTTAGTCCTCTCGGGCTCCGCTGGCGTGACGTCTTGCGCCCGTGGGTTTCTGTCCGAGCCCCCGGCGGGTGTGTCGGCTGCTCTGTAAGGGTCCGGCCGCGTCTGCGGGCTGCACGCAGGCGGAGCAAAGACGAGTCCGGCTGGCTCGCCCTGGGGTGAAGGGCTTGTGTTGAGAGGCAGCCGGGCGCTGGGAGGGCTTGCCCGGTGTCGCCAGTTTCCACAGCGGTGCCTCTGGTCTCCTGCTTGGGGAGAGGAGTCGATGCTGCGTGCGGATCTTTTGTTTTATATAGCGCCTTTCAAAGCTGCTTCTTAAAGTGCTTTCCAGTAAAGAACAAGGGTTCTGAGTGCGGCCCGCGGTGCAAAGGGCAGACAGATCCAGTTCGGGCAAAGCGCTTCTGAAGAGGAAGGGGTGGAGTCCGGATGTGAAGGCTCTCGGGGAGAGGGGACCCCAATCGCCTGGGAGACAGCCCTCTGGGGCTCTGGGGTGCAGCAGGAGGAGGTCGCCCAGCGCATGTCGACGAGTCTGGGGGGACGGGGAGGGGATCCAGGGTCCGGAGAGGAGGTGCTCAGCGTCTCTTGTCTTCCTCTCCGCCCCGCAGAACATGGTGAAGAGTTTCCGGGTGTCGGACCTGCAGACGCTGCTGTCCTCCATGGGCCGCAGCAAGAGCGGGCTGAAGCAGGACCTGGTGGGCCGGGCCCTGCGGCTGGTGCAGAGCGAGTGCAGCCCGGAGCTGCTCAAGACCATCCGCCAGCTGTACGAGTCGCGCTTCCCCAAGGCGCCC